ACAGGTGTCAGGTGATAGAAAACATACTGCATCGAAAGGCACAGTGCGTGGGATTTAAGACTTCCACTCACCAGTGAGTCACTGTACCATGGACGGACTCTGTACCAAGTCACTACTAGCAACATCGACGCCGAAAAACTGGACTGCTCGGGAAACACCTCTCGGATAGTTTCGTCTGCTTCGCAAAACTGCATTTCATTTTGCGATGACCGGAGAAGTTGACGATGCAAAACCAATCCAAAGTCAGTTGTGTCCACGTCAGTCATGAAAACTGCAATCAGTGGTGTCAGCATCAAGGGCAATGGATCACTTTGGAAGGAACTCAGTTCATCACCAAATGAAATAACTCCATTTGTGTTCACCTAAAGTGGTAGGAATATGGGCATGCATTTCAATACTAGTGAATGCGTGACTCCATCGTAATTAGAGCTGACCTAGCCATTTTGATCCAAACCTGTGTTGTCTCACGGTCCATTGAAATGTATTCAGCTGTGTAGAAATGTGAAAAGAATAATTTCTGTGTTCCCTGCTCTTTACTTGTCGGAAAAGCGGTGTAAAAAGGTTGTATATCACCAAAATAAATGAAGCTGGCGTGGTGTCAACGTTTATATTGAAACCAGCTCTTGTGTCTAATTGATATCAAGCTCAATAACAGAAAAATACCCTGAACACTCCAGAAAGGTGCATAACATGCATTATTAAAAAAGTTCAGTTTATTTGTTGGAAGAACCCTTGCATCCTCCTTATATGTATCCGATTGTCACAAAATATGCCCTCAAATTCATGGAAAGACCCACATCATATGACTTGTTCGTTCTGTATATGTATTTTGAGTTTAATCTGTAATTTCGCTCTCCAATCTGTTAGTCTTTCCACGGCCATAAGTTTTCTGCCAGTACCTTAATTTTATAAGAAACAGGAACCAAACACAAAAATAACAAGTAAACAACCTACATAGAATGAACTGTAGTTGCGACCAAAGAAGAAAAACGGAAAGGCAAAGAAAACTTCCCCAGATGTCTCTTCATCCTCTTTAGGCAGATACCTCACGTCAGGTCCCAGAAATGGAAATAAAATACCTGAAACACACAGAAAAGTCATTCGGTGTCAGGACCCTCGGCTGAAATTAAAAGCTTATGAAAGAATGGGGAATCTTACCTTGAAGTTTACCATAATGAGGCTAATGTGTTCATTACGCTTTTGTGAAGTTAATTTGTTTCAAAGGAAAAAAAACTGGATTACACCGGGTCACAATTTTTGCAAGGGTCAGGAATTAAACCAATTTAGGCGATTGAAATTAATGTCTGGTTTGTTTTAACCAAACAATGGTTAGTATCCACTCCGTTTGTGGGTAAAAAATGAAACAGAAAGTAACATTCATCCCGAAATTGGGTTAAACACAGCCCATATTTGGGTAGTTGCAGTAATAATGGTTTCACCCTTCCTTGGGTTAACATTTTACCCAGGCAATTTTTCGGTGAATATCCAGATTCAGCTTGCCGTTTTAAGGTGATTGGGCATCGCCTGCTGGTTCATTGGGTTCGTTGTGGTGTTATTTTCCCTTGTTTCTTCCAGAAGGTAATTTTCAGCCATCTTCTCTGAGACATTATGAAGTATAAACTTAAAATCTAACATGAACATCAAGCCGGATCTCTGGATGTGCATATAGTGTGACGTCGCAGTGACGTCATCAGGTTTCATATTGTATTTGACTATAGTTTCGAAAACCCAACCGAAGTCTATCACCTGCCTCTCATGAACTGATACAGGTATGGAATTTATTCTTTAATTTTGACATATCTTGAGTGTGGCAGTATGGGGTGGCAGTATGCAGAGTGTGGGGTATTGAAGCTGTCGACCATTGCTCCGGGGAAATGAATTTGGTCGAAGTTCGACAATATTTTCCATCGTTTCAAATGTTTAAAACACCTTCAATCGGTACATTGGTAATTTTCAAAACGCTTTAGAACATTCCCTGAAGCCTCTTACTTAAATAAACCTAAATGTAAAGATGCGCTTGCTTTTGTGACGTCATTATAACGCATGTATTGGTGACTTAACGAAAAGAAAAAAGTATCCAACTATGACTTCAGAATTGTTTTGAGACCTTGTAGACATATCTTGGCCAAAGCTCAGTGCCGATTCAAACGACAAGTCACAGGACTTCGACTCACAGGGTAACCGGAATTTCATTGATATGATGAGATCATAGAAACTCAAAATAGGAAGGCTTCTCCTACAACTAACCAAATTGTTATTAATGTTAGGAGTTATATTCTTTTTCAGTGATTTTTGACGTCATAACAAACCACACGCATTGATCACATTGAAAACAAACAGGATATTTTCTGGAGACAGATTTACAGCCAAACAGAATGAAGGTTTGTGCTGAGGTGTTTGTGCATCGCGTGAAAGGTCGTTATCTGCAGTGCGACATGATTGTCAGATTGGGAGCTAGTATGTTCATTGCCAGGGATGTGTTGACATTGTGAAGACATTGTGTTGATGAGATCTAGACATTAAATGTGCGCCCTTCAAAGGCCAAATATCTGTTAAAAATTTAATAAGATTGAAAATGATCAGGCAGGGACAAGAATACGCTTTTTTTCATTCGTTTGCGTGCGTGAGTCATCTGACACTACAATAATGCTAACTCTTCACTGGGCGAACATCCAAAAAGAAAGATCAGATTCGATTCATGGAAAAGGTTGATCAATACGTAACACCCATTCGCCTGACATGAATATGTTTGATTCTCAGCTGATCTTCATCAGGGCGACACCAGCAAAAGATGCAGTCGATATGAAAGATGTTATTTTGCACAAGTAGTTTCCTGCATCTAAAATAGGCAAGGCGTCAGATTGATATCGCCCAATCACAGCC